GAGCTAGGTTGAAAAATAGGCTACTTTTTTAAGAGTTACCACCTGCTAAAAAAGTTTAATTAAATTAATACGCGGAAAGTCTGAACGGATTTGCATGAAATTTTGCAAGCAGATAGCTTATGGGCCAGATTGGTTAATAGGCTATTTTTTTTAAGAGTTGCTACCTGTTAAAAAAGTTTCATTTATTTAATATGCGGGAACGACTGAATGGATTTGCATGAAAATTTGCACACAGATAGCTTATGACCTAGATTGGAATATAGGCTACTTTTCTTAAGAGTTGCCGCCTGTTAAAAAAGGTTCATTAAATTAATACGCGGAAACGACTGCATGGATTTGCATGAAATTTCGCAAGCGGATAGCTTATGACCTACAGTGGAAAATAGACTAATTTTTTGGAAGAGTTGCCACCTGTTAAAAAAGTTTTAATCAAATTAATACGCGGAAACGACTGAACAGATTTGCATGACATTTCGCACACAAAGCAAGTTAATCCGGTATGGCTAAGTCGGGTTTCCTCATCAATCTAAGCAATTTGGTGTGCATTTTCATTAAGATATATACCAACAAACGTTTTGCAAACTAGGTTTGTAAAAGTTCCCAGTTTATGTATTACTAATAACAATAATTATTATTTTTTTATATTACGTGTTTTTATAAGCGTAAAACACAAAATAATTATTATAACTGGTGTTTGGTTTAAAACTCGGACAAACTAGTCAAATTAATCAGATTTTATTTTTAATTGGATTAACGATTAATGTTTTAAATTAATTAAACGTAATCGCAGCCAGCGGTTAACGATTAAAAAAATGTTATCATTTATCGTACAGTTGATTACGACTAATTAATTTTAATCGTCAAACGCGATTAACATTTTAATCGTTAATCAGATTAACAGTTTGCCAACACTGTGAAATCATGTTCATATTCACGGAGAAAAATGGACGTTTTTGGAAAAGAGGCATAGCAACTCCCATACTGACTGAATGTTTCATATTGCATATCTCTTCAAATGTTTGGGGTAAAGCACTCAAGCTTGGTATGGAAATTAATATGTATGTATATATGTGAAACTGATACCGTCTTCTTCTTCTTTTTTGGCGCTGTAACCGCCTAAGCGATTTTGGCCGAGTTCAGCAAAGCACGCCAGTCGTTTCTCCTCTGTGCCAACTGACGCCAAGTGAAGCCAAGTCCTTCTCCACCTGATCTTTCCATCGCAGTGGGGGCCTCCCTCTTCCTCTGCTACCACCAGCGGGTTCCGAGTTGAATACTTTCAGAGCTGGAGCGTCGGTGTCCATTCGAACGGCATGACCAAGCCAGCGGAGCCGCTGTATTTTAATTCGCTGCACTATGTCCATATCGTTGTAAAGCTCATACAGCTCATCGTTCCATCGTCTGCGGTACTCGCCGTCGCCAACGCGTAAAGGCCCGTAAATCTTCCGCAAAATTTTTCTCTCAAACACTCCAAGAGCCGCCTCATCGGATGTTGTCATTGTCCATGCTTCTGCGCCATATACCAGCACGGGCATGATGAGTGACTTATAGAGCGCGGTTTTCGTACGTCGAGAGAGGACTTTACTCCTGAATTGCCTACTCAGTCCAAAGTAGCACTTGTTGGCAAGAGTGATTCTACGTTGGATTTCAATGCTGACATTATTATCGGTGTTAATGCTGGTTCCCAAGTAAACGAAATTCTCTACTTTCTCGAAATTGTAACTGTCAACAGTGACGTGGGTGCCAAGGCGCGAATGTGCTGACTGTTTGTTTGATGACAGGAGATACTTCGTCTTGTCCTCGTTTACCACCAGACCCATGCGCTTTGCTTCCCTATCCAACTTGGAAAAGGCAGAACAGACTTCGCGGTTTTTGTTACCGATGATGTCCATGTCATCGGCATAAGCCAGCAATTGCACGCTCTTGTAGTAAATTGTTCCTGAGCGGTTCAGTTCTGCAGCTCTTATTATCTTCTCCAACATCAGATTAAAGAAGTCACATGACAGGGAGTCGCGCTGTCTGAAACCCCGTTTTGTGGAGAACGGCTCGGAGAGGTCTTTTCAAATTCTGACGGAGCTGGTGGTATTGCTCAACGTCATTTTACACAGCCGTATGAGTTTTGAGGGGATGCCAAATTCAGACTTAGCGGCGTATAGGCAACTCCTTTTAGTGCTGTAAAAAGCGGCTTTAAAGTCGACAAATAGGTGGTGAGTGTCGATCCTTTTCTCGCGGGTCTTTTCCAAGATTTGGCGTATTGTGAATACCTGGTCTATGGTGGATTTGCCAGGTCTAAATCCACACTGATAAGGCCCAATCAGTTCATTGACGGTGGGCTTCAGTCTTTCACACAATACGCTCGATAAGACCTTGTAACCTATGCTTAGAAGGCTGATCCCGCGGTAGTTGGCGCGAATGGCGGGGTCACCTTTCTTGTGGATTGGGCAGAGCACATTTAAATTCCAGTCGTCGGGCATGCAATTCCAGTCGTCGGGCATGCGAAACTAATACCATACTCATGGAGAAAAATGAGAGTTATTGGAAAAGGTGGTGTGGCAACTCCCATGCAAATTGATTATTCTTTGCTGCATATCTCTGGAGGTGTTAATTGCAGAGGACTGAAACTTGGTACCGAGATGTGTATACAAAATTAATTCCATACTCATGGAGAAAAATTTGCATTATTCGAAAAGGGGACATGGTTCCTCCCGTACAAATTTACTGTTTTGTACTGGTTGTCTCTAGAGGTGTTCATGGTGGAGTACTGGGACTTGGTACTGGGGTATGTAAAATCAATTATAAACTCATGGAAGAAGATTAGGGTTATAAGAAAAAGGGGTGTGGCACCTTCAGTACAAATTTACTTTTTCTTGCCACATATCCCTAGAAGTGTTTGTGGAAGGATACTGGAACTTGGTATGGAGTTGTGTATGCAAAATGTATCAATTGCTCATGGAAAAAATGTGAGTTATTAAAAAAGGACGCATGTCGCTTCCCATACACACTAAAAACTTCTTAATACATATCTCTGGAAGGATAGAAAATCTCTCGAAGTATTTTAAATATGTTATGGAGGTTTTTTTTATAAGTGCCGTACTGACAGAATAAATTTCATTAAAGGGAAAAGGGAGAGCCGGGTTCGGCCTTATAATCTAAAGCTCTCTTGAGGCATTTGCTACGGTAATAAGAAGTGGTATTTGGTAAAGGCCAGGTTACTAAATTTGAGTTGGAAATATTAGAACCCGCCGTGGCACCTCCAAGAAGGTTACACGTTCACGCGTCGTATACCTGGAACCATTTTAAGGTAAACTTAGAGGGATTGATATCTTTCGTATTTTATAATTGCATAGTTTTAACTTTAACTCGCTTAACAAATAACGAGCTATAACGAAATGGGTACAGAAATAAAATCTAACATCTATAATTTTTTTCATATTTGTATAAAGACGCGGGGTGAAACCCGCGGGTATAAGCTAGTATGTATATATTTACTTTTGGGCATAGGTAAAAGGAATAAGTACAGTCATACAAAACTAATAATTTCGGTTAGAGTAGTGTAAAATAATAAAAACCCGAAAACAAAGCAAGTTTTGCACTTAGCTTTTCTCAATTTGTATTTAGATTGATCTGTTTTGACGAGCTGGACCACAAATAATAGACCCAGTTGCGTTGCACCAGTGTTTTATGTGTACAAAAGAAAAAATGTGTACAAAAGAAAAAATAGAACATATGTTTTAGTGGTGGGGGTTTAGTTATATTTTTTTTTATGAAATGAGGTACAACAATACAATTGTTATTACACAGAAAAGAGGAGCACTGCATGCCAGGGCCTATGGCTCGCTGGTATGAAAAATAGTCCCTATTGTGCAAATAATCCAATTTTAGATATAGAAGTATAAGAAACTACTAAATTGAAATGACAGTAATTGATAACTAGGGCTCGGACCTCATGCAAATGCATGTTTTTAATGGGCATGTTCAAATCGAAATGGTTAAATTATCTTTTCGAATCATGAAATTTCCTTTAAAATGGCATTCAATCGTTACTGCATATTTTTGCATATTTTGCAGTAAATACATGATTTTGCTTATTTTGCAAAAAATACTACTTTTGCATATTTATTGCGCGTATTTTAGTATAGGGCTA